TGCCGAGGACCTGCCCCGAGCCCATTTGATTTGATTGTGAAGGTCATTTCTCAGCTGTAAGAGAAGAGCTGGGACCAGAAACAGCCAGCCCATGGCTCCAGCGTACGGGGACCCTTTGCCCCAGACCTCTGCAAGTCCCCTGGGAGACAGCCAGCAGGCCACAGAGCAGTTCTGGTGTCCGCAGGAGACAGTGCAGTGATCAGCTCATGGAGAGACAGGGAGGGAGGGAGGCAGATGATGCCTTCCCTCCCTGCTCGTCCCTTTGGGTCGCTATGCCGGGGGCAGCGTGGGCTGCTGCGGGCACTGCTTACACCTCTGCCTCCCTGCAGCTACATCGAGAGAAAAGCATTCCTGGAGCGCGTGGATCACAGGCAGTTTGAAATCGAACGCGACATCAGACTGAGCAGGATGAAGCCCTGACATGCTGCGGTGGCGACGGGGGATCCTGCACCCTTCTGTGCCTGAGTGCTGGCTGGGGGCTGCCAGCCACCGCCGGACCACCAGGCATGGAAACCATTCTCTACCCAGGACTCAGCCTGTATGTCCCACCATACGGGTTTTTCCTTTTACTGTAATAGTTTGGGGAGGGTATTTGTCAGTGAGCAGGGGGCACTTTGAGGGTTAAATGGCCGAGCAGGTGACAGCAGCGACCAGCGTGATTCTGGCAGGCAGGCGGCTTTCCAAGAAAAGATGGTGGCACCCATCCTTCGCCAACCCTAGGTGCTTCTGGCAGCAGGAGGAGCTGCCAAGGCTGGGAGGGTGCTGGAGCCTGGGTCAAGGCTCGGCTGGTGTGTTTGGTTGTGAGAACAGAGCTGCGGGAAGGTTTTGTGGCTGCTGTACGTGTGCTAGCTGGGGGATGGAGCCCTTCTCCCCGCTCTCCCAGCCCCGCAGAGCTCCCTGCCCCTCTGTGCTGTGCTCTTGCTAGACAAAGCTGGACTGTCTGTACTTTTTTGTGGGGTCTGATGATGCTTGGGGGGGTTTAAGCAAGCTGATGAAGAAATCCTTCCTTGTTCACGCTGTGAAGAAGATGGGAGCAGCTGCAGCAGGCAGGACGGGCCAGGATCCCAGCGTTCACATGAATAAAGTATTCCATCCCGACACTCCTGCGTGCTGGCAGCGTGGTTTGTGCAGGAGGCAGAGGGCAAAGAAATTACAGGCCACATGCAGTAACGAGTGTGTGACTGTGACTGTGAAAATCCCCACTCGGAGGGGCCTGGTGTCTGCCTCGATAGCAGCCTGAGGGTCAGAGCAGGTGCTCGGGTTGCTTTCCCTCTGCAGTACTGGGGTGGCAGGGGGATTAAATCCACAACTGGGGGGTGATGGGGGTAATGTAGAGCTGCAGGAGTAAGCAAACCCACCCGAGGCATGGCCACACAGGGACATGTGAGTGAAGGTGCCTGGGAGAGCAGAGCGAGGCGCCTGCACGTGGAGCAAGCGGCCAGAGCTAGAGGACAGCAACGTACCATCACCCCGGGCATCCCTTCTGCTCCGCCTGGCCGAGGTCAGCAGCTCCCAACGTCTGGCCTGTGCACATCCCCGCAGCAGAGGCGCTCACTGGCCTTTCCCCCCGGGATGCTCCGAGCCCACTCCTGGGGCAGCCCATGCTGGTGCTGTGCCGGGGGAAGAGTGGCACAAGCCCCATCCTTCCCACTAAACGGGGTGAGCGATGCTGCTGCTGGCCCAAAAAAAACCTCGCCTTGGGCCTCCCGTGTGAGCCGCTGAGTCAGCCCGTGCTCTGTGGCCATGTTGCGGGATAGACGAGAACAAAACACCACGTGCTCGGGGGAGCTGCAGCCTTCGGCGCCCAGTTATGTACAGAATCAGCTGCTAGGGAGCTGCTGAAACGAGCCTAGAATTGGACAGGAACAAACGAACGGGGGTGATGACATGTTTTCGTCTCCAAACGCTTACAAGCCAGTTGCTGCTTTGGTTTTTGGTTGCCGAAACAACTGGAGTCCCTGTCCAGGGCACCATTGTGGAGAGGTTTCAGCTCGGGACTCCTGGCTGGCAGCGCACAGCCCCAGGCTGGACCCTGGCGGGGGCTGCAGGCAAGGCGGGGGCTGTGAGGTGAGGCGGGGGCTGCAGGGTGAGGCGGGGGCTGCAGGGTGAGGCAGGGGCTGTGAGGCGAGGCGGGGGCTGCAGGGTGA